CTAAAATTACAGTGATTTTCAATGACTAGGGTATCAAGGGCTTGCATACGACAGTTCCCAACTTCTATAGGCATGTCTGCCAGCAGTGTTTTACGTTCTTGGTTTGGCATCACATGTAAGCTTAAAAAAATATCTTTCATAATGCCTGGATGTAGAAATTGAAGGTCAGGCTGTGCAACTCACACTAATTGGTAGTTGCTGTGTTGATCAGCAAAGGCCAAAGCATCCTAGGTTTTTGGATTATCTCTCTGAATTAAGAACTAGTTTAATAATAATAATAATGATAAAGTTGGAAGGGACCTTGGAGGTCATCTAGTCCAACCTCCTGCTCAGGCAGGAAACCCTATACCATTTCGGACAAATGGCTGTCCAGTTTCTTCTTAAAAACTTCCAGTGTTGGTGCATTCACCGCTTCTGGAGGCAGGTTGTTCCACTGGTTAATTGTTCTAACTGTCAGGAAGTTTCTCNATCGTGGTGACCAAAACTGGATGCAGTATTCCAAGTGTGGCCTTACCAAGGCATTGTAAAGTGGTATTAACACTTCACGTGATCTTGATTCTATCCCTCTGTTAATGCAGCCCAGCACTGTGTTGGCTTTTTTGGCAGCTGCAGCACACTGCTGGCTCATATTTAGGTGATTGTCCACTAGGACTCCGAGGTCCCTCTCTCAGTTACTACTATTGAGCAAGGTACCCTCTATACTATACCTGTACATTTGGTTTTTCTTGCCTAATTTATTGACCCATCTGCACCACACTGGGACATCCCTTTACCACCATTCAGAAAATATTATGTGATACCAGAGAGGAGGAAACTGGATCCAGAGAAAATAGTTTAGTAGAGGTGATGCTGTTAATTCCAAACTTTGAAAAGGAGCACTTCTATATCCTTTGCTGCTAATTATCTCAAAGAAAAAGCAAGCTTAACCAAACAATACCTTATTTTCTAATTCAGACTGAAATCGGACGTTGAAATTGGAGAAATGAAATTGCTGGCTGATGTTCATTAGGTTTTCTCTCGGTGTTTCTTTCCTTAACACACAAAGATATTTTCATCTCAGTGACCTTTCAGTAGGTAATGTCTCTAATTTTAAGTGGCAATATCTTTTCCTTCAGCTGCATTCTTTATTGCTTTTAATTCTGTGGAAATGTCTACTAATTCTGTTACGTAGTTTTATGATTATGTGAAATGCAGTAACAGTAGCAGAATATCTATTCCTGTTCTGATGTTGATATTTTTATTTCTTTGTGCCACAGAACAGAACAGAGGGACCAGAAGCGGAGAATGGGCATGCAAGCTGTACGTCTCGAACTTGAAAAATTGGACCCTACTCTTTTCTTTGGACTTGAGAAAGAAAATATTCAATAGGCATTTTATTCTCTTAATCAATCTTAACCTGGCATGCAGGGAAGGAAATGGCAGCAGATGCTCTTCCTAAGACAGTGTTTCTCAACCTTGACAATTTTAAGGCATGTGGACTTCAACTCCCAGAATTCCACAGCCAGCAATGCTGGCTGTGTAATTCTGGGAGTTGAAGTCCACATGCCTTAAAATTGTCAAGGTTGAGAAACACTGTCCTAAGACCACTTGGATTAGTTTCAAAAATTAAGTTGCAATTTTCCCTTGGTGGGGGCAGAAATTCTAAGATAACGGCTGGATTAATTTGAAATAAGTTTGAATGAGCTTATGTGGCTCTATTTTTTCTCTCTGCAAAATTCTCCATGATGGTATGCAGCAATAAAGAAACATTGGTTTTGCCAGATTTAATGGAGTTTTATTTTTCATCCTGATTGCTTCTTTTAACTATATTTTAAAACCGTTTAACATGTACCTTGAAAGGCAGTGAATAAAGAATCCAAATTAATTAGAATATAACGTAAGGCAGTGGTGGCGAACCTATGGCACGGGTTCCAGAGGCGGCACTTGGAGCCCTCTCTATGGGCGCACGTGCCATTGCCCCAGTCTTGCCTCCCCCCACAACCCCCTCCTCTCCAGCAGCCCCACTGAAGGAGAGTCGCCCCCGAGAGTGGCCCACATGGAGCAGCACAGCCAAGGACATGGCAGCCAGGCAGCGTAAACAAGACTCTGTCCTCACACCCCATCATGTAGTTGATGCTGCAGGGCACGGGTAGAGGGTGTTGCCACCATAGCACTGCTGGGCTGCCTGGACGATTTGCAGCGGGCCCTGGAGGTGGTGAGTGGTCCTGTGGGCAGGCAGGGTGGGGATGGGGGGCAGAGTGGGGGTGGGGCAGGGGGGTGGAGCAGGGTGGGGCCAGTTTTTGGGGACTCGGTCTCTAAAAGGTTCGCCATCACTGAAGTAAGGTAAAATAATGCAGACCCACAGTACAGTGACTTAAGCGACAACCATTTGCTCAGTGACTGTTCAAAGTTACAACAGCACTGAAAAAAGTGAGTTATGACTGGTTTTCACACTTATGACCATTGCAGCATCCCATGGTTACATGATCTAAATTCGGGTGCTTGGCAACTAGTATGTATTTATGATAGTTGCACTACTCTGAGATCCTGTGATTACCATTTGTAACCTTCCTAGTTGGCCTTCGACAATGGGGAAAGCCAGGTTCATTTGATGACTGCATGGTTCATTTAATAACTGCAGTGATTTGCTTAACAACTGTGGGGAAAAAGGTTGCAAAATGAGGTGCAACTCACTTAACAATTGCTTCACTTAGCAATGGAAATTTTGAGCTCAATTGTAGTGGTAAGTCAAGGACTACCTGTATATCACCCAACTATATCCATACACCACATAAAGCCCCATTTACAGCTCTCGAATTCTTGGTGCCCTCTGAACTTGGATCTTTTCCCCATGACTTTCAATCAGTTCTTCTTGCATTCTACTTTCTTGCCCATCCCAGATCCCCCTCTGCCCAGTTTTTTTTAACTTTTCCAAGTCACATAAGAGGTGTGGTGGTGCAGTGGCTAGAATGCAGTATTGCAGGCTAATTCTGCCAACTGCCAGCAGTTCAATTCTCACCGGCTCAAGGTTGACTCAGCCATCCTTCTTTCCGAGGTGGGTAAAATGAGGACCCAGATTGTTGGGGGCAATATGATGACTCTATAAACTGCTTATAGAGGGTTGTAAAGCACTATCAAGCGGTATATAAGTCTAAGTGCTATTGCTATTACTATATGCACTCCAAATATTTTTGTTCTGCCAACTATGCTCTACTCTGCTCTGCTCTACTATGAGGCACCTCCTCCAGATGGTAGCTGTTGGAGATCAACAATGACTACCCTCCAACTTCACCCAAGCTCCCTAAGCCTTCTCCTCTGCAGCATAAAGGTATTCCTCAGCTTACAACCGTTAGTTTAATGACTGTTCGAAGTTACAATGGTACTGAAAGAGGTAACATGAACATTTTTCACACATACAGTTGTTGCAGCCTCCCCATGATCACATGAGCAACCGGTTCATATTTATGAAGTTTGCAGTGTCCCGGGGTCATGTGACCACCTTTTGTGACCTTCTGACAAGCAGAGTCAATGGCGAAGCCGGATTCACATAAGAACCGTAATTTTGTACTAGTGTGTAGTAATAATGAGTAGTTTTGATTAGTATTGGATGATTGTGCATTTATTTCCTAGATTAGCTTTGGGAAGTCCTGGGGGGGGAGGGGGGAAAGGGGTAGGTTGGTATTATAGATTTATATGTATATATATGTATGATTTTCTAAGGAGGTGCCCGGTGATACCCCAACTGCACTGACGGG